CTCCATATTTGCTTTCATCCGTCAACTCTCCGCCTGCTTATAAATGAGCCCCATTACTGTTAAGTGCTAACAAGTTGGTCCCGACCCAGTGCCACCTTGTGCATAACGCACTGCGCCACCCTGCTTGTCCTCACGCTCAGCTGTCTGTGAGCTCACTGCTGCAGCCATGGTCTCCATCTGTCTCCTTAAGGTTCTTCTTCTTTTCACTGACTCTACTTCAACAGGCATCCTGTTGTTGCTTTTTAGGCTACTTGGGAGGATTTTTTATTCCTTTACATTGAGATCTAATCCATCCTGAAGTCTATAATCTTTGTTCTTAAAACAGTCTTCATCACAATATAGTCAGCAGTACCACAGAGTATTACCTGGGGCCTGGAGTGGTGTAGACAGGAGGTGGGGGTGGGTGCATGTTTCTTATACCTGGCACTGTGCGTCTCCTATCATGGCCGTTAGCCCTGCAGGAAGCCCTCTGTCACCATTTCACAGAGGCCACTGTCCAGGGCTTTTGGAGACTAAGACTAGATTATGCCCCACCCCTTCTGGGTTGAGACAGAAAGACATGCTGGGGGTAGTGAAGTAGGCATGGAGCCTGGTTGGCTCTTTACTGCCCAGATGCCCTCCTGGGCCCACCCTGCTCTCCCTGGAGCTTCCCAGCTTGACAAGGAGGCTACAGTGCTAGGCCAGAGTGGACTCTGTAGCCAGCACTCAAGGTTGGGGTCAAGTAGTCACCAAGTCCCCAGTCTTCCGGATCCTAGGAGCCTGCCAATTTACCCACAGAGAACACGCCTCCTTGACAGGCATAGAGGTGGGGATGGAGAGCTTTCGCCTGGTCTTGGGGTTTACTCCCAGGTGGCCTTAGACAAGTCACTTGTCCTGCTTGGTCTTCAGCATTGAGGTGAGGCTAGCCTCAGTCCTCCCAGCCCGTGCAAGCTGGAGTCCCAGCCTAGGACTGTTGGGATCCTGAGGTCTGGAGACACCCACCTGTGACATTCAGAGTGGAAACCTGAGCATATCTCGAACTCCACAGTCTGTCTTTGGGTTCAAACCATGGCTGCTTCTCTTGGGGTATGATCTTGGGCAAGTGTTTTAACATTTTCAGCACAATTTTCCAGTCAATACAATAGGGACACACAAAGATACACTATATAAGATTGTTACAAGAAATAGATGGGCTGAATAAAGTACTGAAAGACAGCACCTAGATTTAAGTTGGGCGTCCTAGTGGTTTAATTAAGCCACAGGGAGTTGCCCTACTGACCCAAAGGTGGCACCTTCTGGGGGTTTGAATCCACCAACCGCTCTTTGGGAGAAAGATACAGTCTCTCTCGTGCGATTTTACAGCTTCCGAAAACCCACTGGAGAATCAGCAACGGGTTTAAATTTTAAGAAGGCATTGTTTTTGTTGTGTGCTGTCGAGCCAGAACCAATTAATTCATTTTTGACCCAACAGTACTTTTTCCGAGAGAGTAAATAGCATAGAAGATATTGCCATCCTTCTGCTGCAGAGCAGCTGGTGGATTCGAATCATGTGCCTTTGGGATAGCATCACAGGTTCTTTCTTACCACTAGGTTACTGGAGATTAGATGTGTGTGGTTGGTTGGTTGCTTGGTTGCTTGGTTGCTTGGCTGACTGGTTGGTTTTTAAATGCCATGCTCCCTCCAATGCTGGGCCCCATTCTAAAGACCCTTGTCACATAAACCTCAAACAGGTCAGAGGAAGGAAGGGAAAATAACTGCCTGCTGCCTTCTTTGAGGATGAAGCATCAAGGTCGGAGTGAAGGACTCAGGACCATCCTGGATGGAGGTGGATCCACACCCTCACTTGTTGATCTCCCTAGGTGGCAGCCCAGAGCTCAGGGCTGGAAAAGACCAGGCCTCAGCACTCACCCCAATCCCAATACCAGTCTCAGCACAGAAAAGATCTGGTGAAGCCTCAGCATGTTAGGCATGTTTGTTCATTCAGCCCCTGGAAGACCAGGGTCCGTGGCCCTTCTGTCCACAAGGATCCTCCCAAGGGCTCGCTGTGCCCCACTGTGGCTCCCAGACCCAAGAAGCTAGTGTAGGATCCCAGTGCCATGTCAGACTCCCAAGGACCCCAACATCACTTAAGGTTCTGGGCCATGGAGGCGGTGACAGAGTCGAGGCCAGCAGGAAGGGCTGGGCTGGCATCTCACTCCTGCAGGTTAATTCCTTGTTTCCTCTGGAGCAGTTAGCAGAGGAGGATGAGCCCCTACTGTTTGTCCTCCGCTGCCCCATCGTTTGGCATAGGAAAGTCAATTTTCCTAAGTGATTGTGTGGCCTGGCCTGCTTTCCCTCCCATTGGCACGAGGGAGGCCACCCCTCCCCCTTCCTGTTTGTCTCACCTCCTGAGAGCTGTTCTTTCCAGAGAGGCTCACAGACCCTAGTTTCCATTTGACCCCATTGTGGGATGTCAAAAATTTACAGACATCTTACTTTGATTTCATGGGTTTACTTTCCCGAGAGCCCACATTTAGGAATAAAAGCCTAGCCTAGACTGCACAACTGTTGACTTTTTTAGAAAAAGCCAAGAGATGTAACATTGTCAATTTGACTTTTCTATCTCAGGAAGGGTAGTTAATAACAAACTGATTACCGTGCGATCTAGTGAAAATGATTGTGTGCTTCTTTAATTTTCATTTCTTGGGTCTCGTAGGTTGTCGTCATCGTCGTCGTCGTCGTCGTCGTTGTTGTTGTTGTTAGGTGCCATTAGGTCATGTATGACTCACAGTGACCCTGTGAACCACAGACCTGAACCCTGTCCTGCCCGGTGCCGTCCTCATCTCTGACACACTTGAGCCCGTTGCTGCAGTCACTGTGTCAGTCCACCTGGTTGAGGTTCCTTCTCTGTTGCGCTGACCTTCCAAGCACACTGCCCCTCTCCAAGGAACAGCCTCTCCTAGCACCATGTACGAGTATGTGAGGTGAAGCTTCGTCATCCTTGCCTCTAAGGAGCACTCTGGCCACACTATCTCAAAGATATATCTGTTTGAGGGCTACACTTTCTGGAGACAACTTTTTAAAATGCCAGCTAGACAATTTCTGAGCACATTGTCACTGCGAAAACAGTGTTAGCTGCCAGTGAGTGGATTCCCACTCATGGAGATCCGGGCATGCAGATAAGCTTCTTTACAGGGAGCTGTGCTGCAAACCCAAAGGTTGGCAGTTCGAATCCACCAACAGCTCCAAGGGAAAAAGATTAGTCTCCCCTTGTGTGAGAAAACACACCGGAGGGTCAGCTGTGGGTCAGTTCTGACTCCACAGTAGTGAGAATGAGTGAGAGAGTGAAAAAAAAAAATCTCAGGACCTTGAGAACATTTTTTTCTTTTCTTTTCCTAAAAGGATCTGTATACTCCCCTAATTTGAAAATTATTTCTTAAATTGCAGAGCAATCAAATAGTGCATTGTTGTTTCAAGCTAATTAAAAGGTTTATTTTTTAACAATTACAAGCCGCCCACTTGTTTTTAGAAATAAGATGATGTCCCAGTGTACTTACAGATTAACTGCTCAAAATAAACCCTGTGTAATAATTTCTTTGGGGTTTTATTATTTTTAGCAGTGGGGAGGGGAACGGCTTTGGGGTGGAGCCTCCTTGTGTTCCCAAACTGTAAAGTGTCTTGATCTAGTGTGGTATGTGGTGTCGTGCAGTATGATGTAGTGTGTTGCTGTGTGGTGTAGTGTGGTGCTGTGTGGTATGCTGTAGTCCTGTATGGTGTGGTGTGATGTTGTGTGATGTGATGTGGTGTGTTGTGGTGTCGTGTAATGTAATGCTATGTGGTGTGGTGGCATAGTATGCTCTGTGTGATGTAGTGTGGTGCTGTGTGGTATAATGCTATGTGGTGTGCTGTGCTGTGCTGTGCTGTGGGATGTGTGTTGTGGTGCGTTGTGCTGTGTGTGTGGTGTGGTGCTGTGTGATGTGGTGTGGTGCTGTGTGCTGTGCTGTGGTGTAATGCTATGTGGTGTTGTGTATTGTGCTGTGTGGTGTGGTTTGTGTGGTGTAATACTATGTGGTTTTGTGTATTGTGCTGTGTGGTGTGTGTGGTGTAATGCTATGTGGTGTTGTATATTGTGTGGTGTGATATGTGTGGTGTAATGCTATGTGGTGTTGTGGTGTATTGTGCTGTGTGGTGTAATGCTGTGTGGTGTTGTATATTGTGTGGTGTGGTGTGTGTGGTGAAATGCTATGTGGTGTTGTGTATTGTGCTGTGTGGTGTGGTTTGTGTAGTGTAATGCTATGTGGTGTTGTGTATTGTGCTGTGTGGTGTGTGTGGTGTAATGCTGTGTGGTGTTGTATACTGTGTGGTGTGGTATATGTGGTGTAGTGCTATGTGGTGTGGTAGTGTGTTGTGCTGTGTATGTGGTGTGGTGCTGTGTGACATAGTATTTTGCAGAGCATGCAATGTAGAGGGAGCGAGGAAGGACGAGAGATGGAGCACAGCATTAGATGGAGAGGTGGGAGGTTCTGGGGAGCGGCTCCTCCTGGTGATCTCCACCACCCTTAATGCTACCTGAAGAAGGGGCCCAGCACTAGGGAGCCCAGGCCTGGAGGGCTACACCTCAACCCCACCCCATGCCTCTGCCTGTGGGCCCTTCTGTCTACCTACCTGGCTAGCTAGGCTACAGAGGACAGTGGTGACTCATGTGCAGAATTGCACCCTCAGCCTAGCCTCCAGCTCACCCACCACATACCTCAGCATCGTCATGGGAACTTGAGCAAGGCTGGGCAGGGAGTGGTGGGACCAGGCCAGGGGCCTTTGGGGAGGCCCAGAGGTATCCTTGCTCTTCCAGGTGACTCACTTCTCTGGGCCTCCCTAGCTTAAAGCAGTAGAGAGTCATCACGGAGCAGGGACTGGCCCCTCTGCCCTCTCCCACAGACAGGACGTCTGCAAAGCCCAGCAGGTCAGAGAGGGCATCACTGCAGTACTGCCCCACTGTCCTGTACCACATGCACTGGCCCTTACACATCGTTTGTCTCCCACAGGCCCTGATTCTGGCAGCGAGGTGCTTCCCGACTCCTTCCCCTCAGCACCGGCTGAGCCGCTGCCCCACTTCCTTCAGGAGCCGCAGGACGCCTACATCGTGAAGAACAAGCCTGTGGAGCTGCGCTGTCGTGCCTTTCCCGCCACCCAGATCTACTTCAAGTGCAATGGCGAGTGGGTCAGCCAGAATGACCACGTCACACAGGAGGGCCTGGACGAGGCCACCGGTGAGCCTGGCCCCCGGCACTGTGTGCCCCAGACACCAGGTCCCCAGCCTGGCTCTGCTGCTCTGTCCGTGTGGGACTTCCCACACCGATGGCACCCCTCCGGCCTCAGTTTCCTCTAGCATTTTCCCTGGACCATATGTGACCAGAGTGCTCCTCAGAGTCAAGGATGGCAAAGCTTCGTCTCACATACTTTGGGCACGTTGCTAGGAGAGGCTATTCCTTGGAGAGGGACATTGTGTTTGGAAAGGTGGAAGGTCAACGAAAGATAGCAAGGCCCTCAGTGAGGTGGATTGACACAGTGACAGCAGCAGTGTGTTCACGTGTGTCAGAGATGATCAGGACGGCAGAGGATGGGACAGGGTTCAGATCTTTTGTTCATAGGGTCACTATGAGTCGTCCTTGACTGGAGGTCCCTAACCATAGTGGTGGCCCCTGGCCTGGCCTGACTGGGTGCCCATGTGCCCTCACAGTAGAAAACATGTAGCTTTTGCGTAATATTCCTTCCTCCATTTCTTTCATTCCCTCTAAGGGGAAAAGTTCTAGTTCTGGGCTAGGATTCTTTCACTCTCTCCCCACCTGCTCCTCTTCCTGTGTTAACAGAGGGCCAGCCCCAGCCACACTGCCGTGGTGCCCTCTCACCAGAATTCAGTGCTGTTGTTTTTATAATTTCCTTCTATTTGTGGAAAGGAAATGGTTTTCCATTCACAATAATAATACAGCATTTCCTTTAATAAAAATAGTTTTGGGTTTTTTAAAAGAGTTAAATAAAATTTATTGAGTAAAGATGAGTACCAATGACGCTGAGGTAAAGCCTGAGAGAGAGGGTGGATGGTGGGTGGAACTGGAAAAAGGTAGAGAAGAAAAAGATCTTCGTTATCTTGTGTTGACGTAATAGAAAACACCAGGTAGACAGCTTGAACAAATTCATCTTCTCGCAGTTTGACCTGAATAAACAAATATATTTCCTCACAGTTTTGGAGACTGGAAGTCCAGATTATTCAGGGTGCTAGGCCTTCTGTCAGCTCCAGAGGAAGGTCCCGTCTCTTCAGCTCAGGCCCTTCTCTCTGGGAGGCTGAGTGCGGGGGACCTGCCCTGAGGGAAGAACTGACAGGGACCACAAGCCTTGTTTAGGGCTTAGGGCAGGTGATAGGGCCACCTGTTCCTTAATATTTGATGGCGGGAGTGTGGGGGAACCTCAGATGACCTTCAGTCTCAGAGTGGCTTCCACCCCTCAGCCTGCCTTCTTGTGTTGGGTGACTTTATTTTTATCATTGCTTCCCTTTTCCTTCCTCCTGCTCCTCTTCACCTCTTTCCCCAGCCCTCTCTTCCTGTCTTCCATCTTTCCTGCTTCTTCCGTTCACTCATCTCCCTCATCGTATCTCTTTCTTTCCATAGTTTATCTCTTGTTCTCCTCTCTCTCTCCTTCTTTCTCTGATTTCCCTGCATACTCTCTTGCCTTTGCTTCATTCTTTCTGTTTTGCTTTGAAAAACTCAGATTGCAGACCTACCTAGGCTTGAAGCCAAACCCCTGCCGCCCCCTCTCTGTCTGTGTCACCATGGGGAAGCCACGCAGCCTCTCAGAACCCAGTTCCTGTTTGTAAACTGGGGCCTGTTAACAAAGCCCTGGAGAGGAAGCAATGAGGGGGTGTATGTATCCCGAGTCCAGTTCCAGGGCCCAGTAGGTGCTCAGTACACATCTACCCTCCCTTCTTCTTTCTGGGTTTTTCTTGGTCTCAACCAAGTATCAGGGAGTGTGGGGACAGTGTGCCCTGCTGGTGCCCTTCATAGCCCTGTGATTAGTGGTAATGGCAACAGCATGTTTCTGACTCTCCCGTCAACAGGCACACAGGCCCTGCCAGCCCTAGAAACTGGGGCACTATTGTCCCTGTTGGTGGCAAACCTTGGACAATGGGTCTTCAGGCCACTCCCTTGGCAGCAGTGGATGAGACTGGCCCTGCTCCATCCCCAGGCCTCTCCAGCACCCACTGAGACCTTGAAAACAGAGAATAAACAATAGAGGAGAAGATGGGCCAGCTCATGCCAGGTCTGGGACAGGCAGCCCGTCTTGGGTGTGGGTGATGGACGTCATCCGTCCTCATCCTTTGCATGTCCTTGCGCTTGTGACCAGTGACAGGATGCTGGGCTTCCCGGGATAATGGCCTCCCCCTTCTCCAGCTGGTCAGCTACTGCTTAAACCCCCTTAGATGGTCGGGCCACTTAGAAGATCCTGGCCCATAGTGGGAAGTAAGGCAGGGACCAGTGCTGTCCTCTCCTGGTTGTGGTGGCATCACCCCTCGAGAGGCCCTCTCTTGTGAATGGGTAGGGGCTCTGTCCCAGAAGCAGCTCCTTTCATCTTCATCTTAGTCCTCCTCAGTGGCAGCCCCCAGGACCCCTGCTGAGATCCCTGGCTGTCAAGGTTGGTCTGCATGCACAGATGCAGGAGAATTAAGGCAGTAGCTTCATTGAGAATGATGCAGTAGAGGCCTCATGGTTGAGGGGGCAGAACGTCAACCCAGGTCACCAGATAGTGGATGTCAGTTTTTTGGCATTGTGCTGTGAGGCCCTGAGTCCTCTCCTCTCTGGGCCTCAGTTTCTCCAAATGTGGATTAAAGAGATTGATGAGGTCCAGCTGACCTGCCTGAGTAGTTTTATATGCAGCCTGGACTAAACGCAGTAGGAGAAGTAATCCTGACGACTTCCCTGGAGAGGCTGAGTAACTTAGCCAAGGTCACACAGGATGGGGTCATGATTGAAATTTGTTTGGGTCTTCAGCCCACTCTTTTTTTTTTCCTGCTGGAGCAGGCAGTATCTTATTCTAATTTATATGTATATGGAGTTACTGTAAGACAGATCCAACTCCATGGCATCTACCAACAATATATAATTAACATACTCACTCACTCACTTCTTCAGCCACTCTTAACCATTGTGCCATGTTACTGCCTCATGTGCAGTCGACAGTCCTGGTCTCAGTTTACTTCACAGAATCTGTGTGTGACTGTGAGATGATGATTTGAAACACTTTGTGGCAAAGAGGAAAAGCTTTATGAATTCTGAGGCAAGCAAACCTGGCACTTAGGGCTTCCTGGAGGAGGCATTCTCAAGGCCCCCTTGTGCCCACAAATTTTGGCAAGAAACTTTAGATGAGGACCTGAATGCAGGACGGCTCACTCTTTCTGAACAGAGGACTTTGTGCAGGCAGAGGGGAGGGGAGGAGATGGTCCTTTCTGTGGAAGTTGATCCCTGGCCTGCCCCACACAGGCTGGCTCTATCCTCTGCCACAGTCTGTTCTGTTGAGTCACTTTTCTGTGCCGGCTCTGAGCCCCAGCAATAAACGTGGCAAAGCCCCACCCACCCACCTCATTCTCCTGCAGGAACTAGATAATTAACACATAACTAAATAGTACAGTCCCAGTAACGGCCAGTGTTGTGAGGAAAGCAAGCTGAGTAAGGGAAAGATCTCCGCGATGTTGATGTGTAAATGCAGACGCACAGCTGAGCGGTGCTGAGCAGGGTTCGGAGATGGATGGGGTGGGCACGGGATCAGGGGAGGCTTCCCGCAGGAAGTGGGGACCAGCTGAGAGTTGAGGGGTGATCACTGGACAAAGAAGGCAATGAAGCTAGTTCCAGGCATAGATGAGGGAGAAACTGCATGTTACCAGAGGGTTCCAGCAAGTGTTGAGAGGTGACCAGCCAGCCAGCAGGGCCACAGGGAGTCAATGTGTACAAGATACCTACCACTCAGGAGCTCACATGGCTTGAGGCCCTTGGAGGGTCTGGATCTCTGTCGAGAGCCTTGGGGGATCGTATGCACCTACACCTTTTGAGAAGTGCTACCAGGTGGAAAATAAATTGGAGGGCCACAGTGCTTGAGCAGAGACAGCACCTGGACCAGGTGGAGATGAGGAATTATAGCAATCGCTCAGGAGGTGTTAGGTTGGAGGGAGCGAGCATCTGGGCCAGTGCCCAGCCCTGTCCCCAGAGTTGACACTGAAAGCATCCATCCTCTCCCAGCGTTGACATTGAAGCCATCCACCCTCTCTTTCCAGGCCTGAGGCTGCGAGAGGTGCAGATTGAGGTGTCCCGGCAGCAGGTGGAGGAGCTGTTCGGGCTGGAGGATTACTGGTGCCAGTGCGTGGCCTGGAGCTCAGCGGGCACCACCAAGAGTCGCCGGGCCTACGTCCGCATTGCCTGTATGCCCCTGACACCCTCCCCGGGGGGGACCATTTCCTCTCACATCCTGGTGATGAGGTTTAACATCTGTAGGAGCCTCTAGCATCCCTGGATGAAGTCAACCCCCAGAGACATCTTGGGTCAGAAGGTGGCTCCAGACTACAGACTGCCTCTTGCCCCAGGATTTCTAAACCTACCTTAGCTTCCTCGCCAGTCCTGACCTGTGACAGGGAGGGAACCTTGTTACCCCAACTCTACTTGGTGAACCCTCCTCTCATTTGGAGCAAGGGAAATGCCCAAGAGAACAAGCGGCCCCATGGAAAGATCCATCGGTGCGCACTGCCACCTAGTGGCTAGAGAGGGGCCCTTCAGGCTCCCGCTCTGCTGTCGACTATGCTGCCTGACCACCTTGGCCTCTTCCCCCCTCCCAGACCTGCGCAAGAACTTTGATCAGGAGCCTCTGGGCAAGGAGGTGCCCCTGGACCATGAAGTCCTCCTGCAGTGCCGCCCACCAGAGGGGGTGCCTGTAGCGGAGGTGAGTGAAGTGTGTGGACTGCTGGGCACAGAGGCTGATTGGACCTTTTATTTCCATGAGATCCGTGCCACAGCCTTCCAGTGCCCTCCATTTCATCAACCAGAAGATCAGGCTTGGGAGCAGACGGGAACTGCCACCTCTGCAGAACCCAGCTGCTGTTGATTGCCGTTGAGTCGAGTACGGCTCATAGCAGCCCTGTGAACAAAGGGCCTGAAACCTTTCTATAACTGTCGTCATTTATCAAAGTTCATGGAGTTCCCAGAGGCATGTTAGGGTCAGGGAAGATTAGGATAGGAGGCGCTGGGATCCTCAGGGCAATGCCCATGGGCTGTGCACTCCATCTTAACCTGCCCTACCTGGCTCTCTAGCCTTGGCTGTATGAAAGCCAGAGGAATTCACGTGTGTGGACCCCGCCTGTGGTGACTGCTCCTCTCCCCACCATTCCAGACCTTCACCCCTTGTCCACTCAGGGGACTGCACTGGGGAATCCAGAAATAAGAACAAGGCATTGAGAAGCTCATGGAACCCTCTGAGCAAAATCCTGGGCTTCAGCTTAGGAGCCCCCATGTCCAAACTTGAAACTTGACACTATTCACTTTGCATCCCACAGCCCACACTCTATGTGGGAAAATGGGTTCAACATCCCATATCGTCAAGGCTTTTCTTCGCAACCCCACATACACCAGGCATTTGGCCCACAGCTGCCCTGAGGTGTTGGGCAGACAGCACTGGATAAGGTGGTGGGGCCATGCAGGGAGGCCCATCTAGTGAATAGGGGAGTTGATATTTGAATCCGCGGTTGCCAGACTCACACTCGGGGATCATGTCCTTAATCACCATAATGGGCCTCTAGCCTTGCCTGGTGGAGTTGATTTGGAAAGTTAACGAGAAAGGCACGCACCACGGCTTAATTGGTACCAGCAGGCAGCTCTTATTCAGCTCTCCCCAGCCTTTGGGCTAGATGGCCTCAGATTCCACTTTACTGTGGGTGAAACTGAGGCTCTGAACAGTTACGTCGCCTCCCAAGTGGCACAGCTGCGTAGTGGATACACTGTGGGCGGAAACTCGCCTAGCACGGTGCCCTTCCCTGCAAATTGCCGTGGGTGGACATGGGTAGAGCTGCTCCTCCCTTCCCCTCTGGGATTCCAGGTGAGCAGGCACAGGGCCCTCACCGCGTCCCTCCCAAACCCACTCCTGCAGGTGGAATGGCTCAAGAACGAGGATGTCATCGACCCTACCCAGGACACCAACTTCCTGCTCACCATCGACCACAACCTCATCATCCGCCAGGCCCGCCTGTCGGATACAGCCAACTACACCTGCGTGGCCAAGAACATCGTGGCCAAGCGCCGGAGCACCACAGCCACCATCATCGTCTATGGTGAGAGGGGCTCGGTGGGTCAGCTGGGGAGAAGAGTGTCCCCAGGCGATCATCTCCCTTGGCCCTGCCCTGCGGGGCACAGCAACCTGGCCACCTGGTGAACAGGTGCGGAACATGAGAACCAGTTTAGAGAGACAGCTCAAGCAAAACTAGTAGTGGTCAGGTCAGGCACTCCTGAGTCCCTAGCCAGTAGTTCCGAGTCCTTCTCCAGGCCCCTTGCTTCTCTTTAAAGGAGAAATGGCATTCTCCTTAAAGTCAGAAGACTGGGGAAGTGCCCATACCTACCCATTGTCCTAGCAAAGTTAGGGATAGCTGCCCCAGGCCCATGAGCTGTGAGCCCTGTGGGTGCTTGGGCAGGGCCACACCTGAGATGACTTTCCACTTGTGGTCCCAGTCCCCCCGTGACTGACAGGTGGCTGTGGGTGAGTCTCACACCCTCCCTGCACCTCCAGTTTCCATTGTGCAGAGGGGTTGGAGGAGTGACCTCCAGGTCTGCCCTGCCTTCTGGTGTCTGAATCCCCAGTCCTGTAAGCAGGAGGCTTCTAACTTGGTGGTACAGGGTCTGAGTGGGGGCTTCACCAGGGAGAGGGTGGGACTGGGGCCAGGCAAGGAGAGTCCAAGAGCCTGGTCAGCCAGGTGATGGCTGCCCACTGCCCCTGCAGTGAACGGTGGCTGGTCCAGCTGGGCAGAGTGGTCACCCTGCTCCAACCGCTGTGGTCGAGGCTGGCAGAAGCGCACGCGGACCTGCACCAACCCAGCCCCCCTGAATGGAGGAGCATTCTGTGAGGGCCAGGCCTTCCAGAAGACCGCCTGCACCACAGTGTGTCCAGGTAAAGGAGGCTGCTGGGCACACGTGCCCATAGCCAGTCTACTTCCTCATCCTCAAAGACCAGATGCTTTGACCTCTTCTGACCTTATGTTCAGCCCTGGCCTCCACTCACTCAGTCCTGCCCTGGTGACTGGAGAGCTGGAGACAGAGGCTCTGAGCTCACTGACCTCCCAGTCCAGGTCCTGCTGCTCTGCAGCCCAGGGTCCCACAGCTGCTCAGGGCCTGGGAGGGTGTGCACGCTTGCACAGGATTATTGACGCCTTGGTCATGAACCCCAGTCCTGAAACTTTCTCCTCTCCTGTTGTCTTCATCTCACTGTGTGTGTCCCATCTGCTTATGTGCCCTTGGCCATTGAGCTGTGGTCTCTTTCCTGTGACTACGTGTTTGTGTGAATGGTGTGGAGTTTTTTCCTCCCTGACTTATGTCTTGGCATGTGCAATCATCCACTGGACTGTGTCTGTCTGTGCTTTCTTTTTTTATTATTATTAATTTTAATGAGAATTTGCAGAGACTTTGGATTTCCATTCATTCATTGTTGCACTTTTCTCCCTGCCCACCCCTCCCCCCTCAGTACACTCTTTGAAAAGTAGAAGAAAAGTTCCCTCATTGTTTTACAATCCCTCCCCTCAGGTCTACTCTACTATGTAGTCTTCGCTCTGGACTGTCTGTGCTTTCTAGCTCGTGTGTGTGTGTGTGTGTGTGTCTGTGTCGACGTGGGTTTGCATGGTGTTGTGTGTGTGTGTGCACACATGCACTCGCTCACTTACTGCCTGTCTTCATGCATAATTCGGTCTGTGCACACGTCTGTGTGACGTGTGTGGCCCTGTGTGTTGTGGCCCCCACAGTGGACGGAGCGTGGACCGAGTGGAGCAAGTGGTCAGCCTGCAGCACCGAGTGTGCCCACTGGCGCAGCCGTGAATGCATGGCGCCCCCGCCGCAGAACGGCGGTCGAGACTGTAGTGGGACGCTGCTTGACTCCAAGAACTGCACCGACGGGCTGTGCATGCAGAGTGAGTCCCCGTGACAGTGGGGGGCTCTCAGCCCAGCCACAGGCCTTCGCGCCGGCCTTCCTGGGCTCTCCCTTGGGGGACTCTGCCACCGCATTGTCATCTCATCTACCCATCGTATGCTCTGCCATCCTGTCACCTGTGTCATTGTCTTTCCTTTATTTCCCCTGACAGATAAGAAAACTCTAAGTGACCCCAAAAGCCACCGTAAGTCTCATTTCACGGCTCTTCTCCTTTCTTTCTGGGACCCCTGGTTTTTCCTTAGCTGGCTTTTTCAGGGTTTGAGGTATAGGGTTGGCAAGGGATGGGCAGAACCGAGGGCCCCACCAACCACCCTGGCACCCAATGCTGCTTGTCCTCGTGTCCTCCATCATACACTGACAGACAGACAGACAGACAGGCCCTGAGCATCATCATCCTGACCCTCCCCTCAAGGAAGGAAAATTTCATTTCAAGCCGTAGGACTTACCCAAGTCCCTAACCTCAGAAGTAGGAGAGCCAGGATTTGAACCCAGCTGGTTTTGTGACCAAAGCTGTTGCTCTTAATCCCGTCCTTTTATCATTTCTGCCAGGACAGGGCCGGGGTCAGCCCACAGGCCCAGCCCCAGGCCCCTCAGTGGACTCTGTGGCTGAGGTGAAGTCTCCAGATTCTCTCTGAATGTCCTCTGCCCAGTGTTCCCCCCGGGGGGGGGGGGGGGGTCCTTGTTCTCCAAGCCCTGAAGACCTTGCTGTTAACGCAGCGACACCAGAGCAGCAGAGCTGCCGTCAGCAGATTGGCCTGTGATAATGAAGCCACAATTTCCCAATAATTCTAGAACCATAAAATCAGCAGTGGGGCCCTCGGCCGAGCTTGTGGGGGTGGGAGCCGGCTGATGACTATTTAGAGATTGCAAATTATCCAGCAAGTAGCCACAGTGGTAGAGGAGGTCAGGGGGCTGTGCAGAGGCCAGGAGAGCCCTTACTATGTCCCCTCAGAGGCAGGCACTCAGCCTGAGGGGACCAGTCAGGTGGTCCTAATCCATGCCCAGATGGTGATTGATTTTCTAAAACATAGTGAATGGGAATGATTGTATGAAACACAGTGTGAATGATGGCTAGTGTGAAACACAATGTATATGAACTTTGTAAGCAAACAAATATAAATTTTTTTTTAAAAAAAAAATTGATGCCCAGCCCCTGCTGAACTACAGGGGTGGGAGCTTAGAGGAATCCAGACTGGAAGCAGCCTCTCTCCGGGGGCTGCCAGGAAGTGGATGGGTACTTCCTGGAGCCCTGAAAGAAGCAAAGGAAGGAGTTTGATGGCTGCCATCTTGCTCTTATCAGAGTCATCCAGCATGGTAGTCAATCGCTATTTAAATTTGTCCTTAAGTTATTTAAAACTAAATCCACTTAAAACACGAGTTCTTAGTCACGCCAGCCACGTTGCCACATGTGCCAGTGGCTGTCATATTAGCTGGTGCAGATAAAGAATCTCTCCATCGTCACAGAACCCTGTGAGTCGGTCATTTAGACCTGCCTCTGGTCCTGGCATTTCCCCACCAGCCATTAACAGTCCCACGCACTGCGCAGCCGCCTGCCTGATGAAGCACACGAGGCTGGGGTTGCCTTGCCTCCAGGTCCTGTTCTGCTCCTGTCCTGCTCACCTCTCTTCACCCCATCACTGTGTATCTCATTCCACTGTGCCTGTCCACCTCCATCTCAGACCCCAGAGCACAGAATAGAAAAAGTGCTCAGAACATCTCGTGGCAAAGATTTCCTTTGTTAGAGCTTTTGGTGCCTCTAAAGTGGTTACAGGCTAGCAATGAGTCTCTGCAGGTTAAATCCAGCTCTCAGAAGGACAAAGTGCCTGTCCCCATGGGACTCTGAGCTAAAGCTTCTTGTGTCTCAGGGTGTTAACTCGCGAGAGGGATCACATTTGAAAATGTGACAGGTTTCATCATGTGGGCCATGATGTTTGTTCATTTATTTCTTGTTGCTATGCTGGAGAGAAGCAAGGCAGGGGTGTAGAGACCATTTCACTGAGAAAGATCCTAAAGGTGAGAGTAGGTACGAGCCTTGGCAGAGGTTACACAACCTACCATCACAGAGCTTGGATAGAGCCATCTTAGTGTTCTGTCCACCTTCCTGTCTGTGCTGGGTGTTCTCTGGTAAAGGTCTGGGAGAGCCCAGGATGTGTTAATGCTCCCTGGAGCCTGTCCCTCATGGCCTTTCCATGTCCCTGCAGTCCTGGAGCCCTCTGGGGACGTGGCACTGTACGCCGGCCTTGTGGTGTCCGTCTTCGTGGTCGTGGTGGTCCTCCTGGTGGTGGGAGTGGTGGTATACCGCCGCAGCTGCCGCGACTTCGACACTGACATCACTGACTCATCTGCTGCCCTCACTGGTGGCTTCCACCCTGTCAACTTCAAGACTGCAAGGCCCAGTAAGCACCACAAACACCTGGGGTGGCTGTGGGACATCCAGAGAGGTGTGGCAGCCAGTCAGGCCGGAGCCCAGGCGCCAGAGGCCCTCTTAGGACGTGGTAGTTCTGGAAGTAACCATGTGTGTCTGTGGATTAGAAAAATGAGACATGAGGAGAAGCTCAGGCTGGAGGAATCAATCCCCAAAGGCTTCCTGCAAGAGGTGGCAGCTGAGCCTTTGGCAGCTGTACCTGTGGGTGGGATTTTGCAACAGGAAGACCCCACGATAGAAGCAGAGGGTGGGGGCTAGGCTGGTGGCACTTGGCTGAGTCTAATTGTAGCCCCTCCTCACAGACAACCCACAGCTCCTTCACCCCTCTGTGCCCCCCGACCTGACGGCCAGCGCTGGCATCTACCGTGGGCCCGTGTATGCCCTGCAGGACTCAGCTGACAAGATCCCCATGACGAACTCACCTCTGCTGGACCCTCTGCCAAGCCTCAAAATCAAGGTCTACAACTCCAACACCACCAGCTCTGCACCAGGCCTGCCTGACGGGGCTGATCTGCTGGGGGTCCTCCCACCTGGCACCTACCCAGGAGACTTCCCCCGAGATGCCCACTTCCTGCACCTGCGCAGTGCCAGCCTCGGCTCCCAGCAGCTCCTAGGCCTGCCCCGGGACCCGGGGAGCAGCGTCAGCAGCACCTTCGGCTGCTTGGGTGGGAGACTCAGCATCCCCGGCACAGGTGAGTGCTCGCTTGCTGGCCCCGCAGCCTCATCTCAGCATGTGCCCTGTGTCAGGCTGAGTTCTGTAAGAGACACAGAATCAGTGAAGCTGTGCACGTATATGGGCGTGTACGGGAGTATTCATGCTTAGGGGTATGTGTAAAGCCCTGGTGATGTAGCTCATAAGGAATGATGACGCTGTACATGTGTGTATATATGTGTGTCTTTAGATTTATGTAGAGGAAGGAGGCTCTCGTGGCCTAGTCCATAGTGAATTGTCCTCCTAACCCACAGACCCTTTCCTTAGCATCCACTATTGGCTCCTTGGGAGAAAGATGTGCAGTTTCTGTCCACTATGATTTGCAGCCACAGAAACCTTATGAAGAGTCTGTATGAGTCAGAGCCGACTCCACGGCGAGTTTGAATGTTTATGTGAAGGAAGTGATTCACCCTTTTGTAGAGGAGGGTAGGTCCCAGGTCCCTGGGTCAAACCTCAGGAGAGAGGCTCCCTCTGACTCACGGAGCTGCGGAGCTGGTGAATCCAAGGTCAATACGGAAGGCAGGCCGCTCGCTCAAGTCCAAGTCTGAAGCACTTGATGCAGAAGCAAGATTTCCTTATGTTCGACAGAGGCCACATACCTGGTGAAATGCTCCTTTGACCCATTGGTTGCTCATAGCTGATCCCATTCAGGGAATGACTCCGTCGTAGCTATAGCACGTGCACAAACACCACACACACACTCTCACTCTTGGAGGAGGTAAAATGAGGCGAGGCAACTTCATTTCAGCCTGTCCCTCATTAGGGCAGGAAAGCCCACCACCTGCAGTCGTAGCTTCTCCATCTATTAAGTGGGAAGTAGTGTGCAGGTCAGCCAACATACAGTACACTGTCCTAGATGAGGTTCTAGTGTCCAGAGAGAATAGGCCAGCTCAGCTTAGCCAAGTCAGCACTTTACAGCTTCCCAGTGTCATGCATGGAGCCAACACTGGGCTCATCAAACTTGAGGTCTTTGCCCCATAGGAAAGGACATGGGGACTCTAGAATTCTTGCCTTTCACAAGAGAGACCTAGTTTCAGTCCCCAGACAACCCACCTCATGCACAGTCCCCACCGTCTCTCATTGGAGGCTTACAGCTTGCTCTGAGGAGGGAGAAGCAGGCTTCAGAGCAGTTTCTAGTCTAAGGCAGACTCGGAAGAAATGTATAGCAAGCTGTTTCCAATGTGATTTTTCTCAGCGGAACACAATAGTCCCACCCACAGCCCATGTCAGGGATGGTCTCTGGGCGTCATTGCCTTCCATTGTGTACATGGGATCATGGCACCCAACAAGAATGTCCCATGGAAGTATCCGAAACTTCTGTGTTATTGGGAAAGCCTGCTGGTGACTCCTAGAGGTCAGGAGATGCCTTTGTCTCCCTGCCCCAGCTGGGGCCAGTCACGCCCTCCCCATCACGTGTTCTAAGCAGCTAGACTTCCTCTAGCTCCTAACTGCTGACCTCCTTCTTCCTGTAGGGGTCAGCCTGCTGGTGCCCAATGGAGCCATTCCCCAGGGCAAGTTCTACGAGATCTACCTGCTGATAAACAAGGCAGAAAACACCCTGTGAGTAGACAGGTCCCACTCTGCCCGCCCTCTTCTCTCCTTCCTGACTGCTCAGCCCTCTGCTCCCTCTGTGAGTTCTAGCCCCGGCATGTCCACTTGGGTTCTAATGTTACTGTCTCCTCTAAGCCAAAGAGCCTTAGTGGTGTGGTAGTTAAAGAATTTGAATGCTAACATGCAGGTAAGCAGTTAAGTGGCCGTCTGCTTCCGTAAATGTTTGCAGCCTGGGAAACCATACAAGCCATTCTTCACGGTCACTGTGGCACGGTCAGCTCCGTGGCAGGTGGATTGGCTGGGTCAGCCTGCTAAGCCTGTATCTAAAGCCTCAAAGTAGACTGCAAAGGAAAATACTGAGTTTGCACTAACTCCATATTTAAAATTTGCAAAACAAGTACAATAGAACAACACTGAGTCTGGCCAAGGGTTAATAGCCTTCCCCTCAAAAGAGATTTACAGGCCAATAAGAAAATAGTCAACAGCCCAGGAGGAAAGCAGGCAGGGGATATGAATAAGTGAGTCACACACACATATTCCCCCCACACACTATGACTTACTAGGTTTTAAAAGAAAGTTCAACCTGATTAAAAGTCAAAAGAATTACTAATTAAAAGAGCTGAGATACCAGCACTTTTTTGCTTGCAAATTTGCAAAGATCTTTGTCAAATGATAATACCTTGGTGCCAGCGTGGGATCTCGAGGCCTTGCATGCTGGGTGGGGTGTAAATTGGTGCCGTTTCCGGAGGGCAGCTCAGCAACACCTATTGAGACGGAATTCAGAAAGTGCAGAGTGTTTAACAACGTGTGCGAAGATCGGGCTGTGAGAGCATGGCTGTGTGATAACAGAGGTTAGGAAAATGCAAGGTTTACACCATTTTCTTTGCCTCCCTTTGTCCCCAGGACTTCTGGCTAGTTGAGGGGCCTGCCTTTCACACAGCACCCTAGCTCTGAGTTTGGGATCCAGCGGTAGCCCTGTGCCCCTGCTGGCCTCCACTGGCCAACATCACACCCCCTCACTGCTCCCTTCTGCCCTACCCACAGCCCACTTTCGGAAGGGACCCAGACAGTATTGAGCCCCTCAGTGACCTGTGGGCCCACTGGCCTCCTCCTGTGCCGCCCAGTCATCCTCACTGTGCCTCACTGTGCAGAAGTCAATGCTGGTGACTGGATCTTCCAGCTCAAGACCCAAGCCCACCAGGGCCACTGGGAGGTGAGGGCTAAGGCTGGGGAGCAGGCAGCTCTCCTGGGGGTGGGGGTGGCCAGGCCCAGCTGTCAGAATCTGCCCCAGGACACAGCAGGCCTGCCACCAGCATGAGGAGGTGGAGGGCGGGCAGAAGAGGGAGTCTGCCTGGGGCCCTCCTGGGCCTTAATTGTAACCTCCTCGCCCACATCCTTCAGGAGGTGGTGACCCTGGATGAAGAAACCCTGAACACCCCCTGCTACTGCCAGCTGGAGGCCAGGTCCTGCCACATCCTGTTGGACCAGCTGGGTACCTACGTGTTCACAGGAGAGTCCTACTCCCGCTCTGCGGTCAAGAGGCTCCAGCTGGCCATCTTCGCCCCCGCCCTCTGTACCTCCCTCGAGTACAGTCTCAGGGTTTACTGCCTGGAGGATACCCCCGTAGCACTGAAGGTAGGAAGGGCTGAGCCCTACAACTCCAACACCCACACCTGCGTGGTTCCTTCCATCCTCCCTCCCTCGCTCCCTGCCCAGGCTCGTAATCTCTTCCAGTCTAATCTGCTCCTCAATAGATGAATCAGTGCCTCTTGTCCTCTCTAAGCTGGAGCTAAGGGTGTGGGAAACAGGGGATCATGGGTGCTCTGATGAAGATCTTCCTTGAAGAGTGGGAAGAAAGGACATGCTCTGGGAGGGACCTTCAGTGTCTGGTGGCAGGAGACAGCTTGACCCAGCACAAATGGAGCTGACCTTTATCCTAAGCCTCAAGGGCCAGCAGGAGGCCAGGAAGAGAAAGAGGAGAAGATTTCTGGCAGATGGAGCAACGTATATGGGAAGAAAGAGTCAGGGAGAGCGGAGGGACTCAGATTCCTAAGATTCCTAAGAGCCTTGTGACCAAGCCAAGCCCTTTGGATCTTTCCAAAAGGAATGGGAGTTCTGGTGACCTAGTGGTAAGAAACTGTGCTGCAATCCCAATGGCTCGCAGTTCTAATCCATCAGCTATCCTGGGAGAAGAATGAGCAGTCTCTTCCCATGCGATTAACTGCCTCTGAAAACCCTCTGAAGAGACAGCTATGGGTCGGTTCCAGCTGCACAGTACTTAGCTGAATGGGAAAGGATCAGAAGGGACCTGCTCACAGGTGGTGCCCTTTCGAGAGCCCCCTGTGAGTGGAGAGATAAGTGGTGGGGAGGCAAGGTGGAAAGTTGGGTGGGCCCTGGCCAGTAGACAGTGATGGTGGCAAGGAGAAGAGGGGCTGACAGTATAATGGACACAACCAGAGGTTGGTGGGAAGGGCCGTGGAAGAGGGAAGTGACCAGCTGGCAGCCAGAGTCCTGGTCCTGTGTATGCAGAGGAGGAAGATAATTGTGTCCTGGAGTGAGGAAGGAAAGTGTTTTCATCCAGAGTTGATGACGGCCGGCTGTGGAACCCAGTCTAACTACCCTTACCTGTTCTCCACACCGCAGCCTCAAACACCTGCCCATCCCGTCCTCCGCCCTCTGCCCATTCCCAGGATCACAGGCCCATCCTAACTTAATACTGGGAGAGTGCAAACGCATGGGCTTGTTTAAACCTCTTTTCCATCCTTTCTCTCGTGCCTCATGACCCTTGCCCCGTTCTTCCTCCTCCCACTCACGCCATGTGGCCCCTCAGCTCTGTCTCCCTGTCTCAGATAGCTTCTCAACCTCCACGTTACAGGCTGATGTAGCATGAGTGAAAAGACATATTGAGAGAGTAAGAGTCTGTCTCCTGCAGGGATTGGCTGGCCTGGAATTCCAGGGCGCCCCCAGGGACTTTCAGGCACCTGCAAAATGCAGCTGTGATCGCTTGGTACGAAGGCATTGGCCCAAGTGTGGACTTGGCCTCAAAACTGAGTGCCGTATTTTAGTTTTTTGGTATCTGTGTTTATTCAGCCCCCCCCCCATGCAGCCACTTAACCGTTCATCCAACTTTATATCCATTTGTCCATATACTAATTCAGTCAGTAGTCCTTTTGTCCATTCAGCTATAACCAGTCCATCCATTTATCTCACCTTTTCCCCACCTCCATCTATTTGTATACCCATCCATTGTAGATCCGTCTCTCTTCCTATTTATCTGTGCACTCATCTGTTCATCTAAGCATTCTTGAGTTCATCTGCCCTTCTCCCTGTTCATCATTTCCAAGCTCTGATGGTTTAGAGGTAAAGAACTGCGCCTCTAACATGAAAACTTGTGGTTCAAATCCACCTGCTGGAGAAAGATAGGCAGTTTGCCCCTGTGCCTCTGAAAACCCACTGGAGGGTCTGCTATGGGTTGGTTCTGACTTGACAGTACACAAAATAAGCCCATTTGTCCATCCATCCATCTGTTTAATTTCCTGTCCCTTCTGATTTGTCCCTGACCTGCAGGAGGTGCTAGAGCTGGAGCGGACACTGGGTGGCTACCTGGTGGAGGAACCCAAACCCCTGCTGTTTAAGGACAGTTACCACAACCTTCGCCTCTCCCTCCACGACATCCCCCATGCCCACTGGAGGAGCAAACTGCTGGCCAAGTACCAGGTGAGGTCCGGGCCTAGGAGCAGGAGTGGAAGGGCACACCAGTTCCCCTCTGTGCCCAGCCTCTGCCCTCTGCCTCTGTCCTAGGGTTTGGCCTGCAGTCTCTCTTTACCTCTCAGTCTCATGCCCCCACCGTTTCCCCAGCTCCAGGCATCCTCAGGCACATCTCTTAATTAAGTGCCACCAATGGTCATGTCTTCACTCCCACCCTGCCACAGTCTCGGGCACAGAAACCAGGGGCCACATGTTCAGAGAAGCCTTCCCATCTCTAAGATTGTACACTGGCTGGCTGATCTGAGCTCGGATGGGGGTGCCCCTCTGCCCAGCCGTCCATGTGACACCACTGTATCCACGAGGCTTTCACAACCCAAACACAAGGGATCAGGCTCATGCCTTCTCCTCTTCCATACTCACCCCATCCCTAATTCCCTTCTGGAACTGAGGGACTGTCATGAGCCCAGTCAGCCAGTGAAAGGGCCCTTGACTTTGACCTTAACAATGTTTCTGTTCCTCTGGTTGGAGAGGTCTGAACTGGCCCTGTGAGTGGCTGCTGCAGCCTTCCCTGACGATGTCCTCATGCTTCCTTTCCATTCCCTGTGAGACAGGGCATGCTGGGTGGGTTCCAGAAGGGACCTCACCTCCATGTCCCTGGCCTGCTCCCCCCAACAGGAGATCCCGTTCTATCACATCTGGAGCGGCAGCCAGAAGGCCCTTCACTGCACCTTCACCCTGGAGCGCCTCAGCCTGGCCTCCACAGAGCTCACCTGTAAGATCTGTGTGCGCCAGGTGGAAGGGGAGGGCCAGATATTCCAGCTGCACACGACGCTGGCCGAGGTGAGGCCCAGAGGCTCTGACTGGGGGTCTGGGTGAATGCAGCATGCCGACTGACTGGCCTTCTCGCCTGGTTAACAGAAATATCCTCTCCAAACACATCTCCTCTCACAAGGCTGCACTGGGACTTGGGCATGCTTCCCTTCCAGCCATGATTTGTTGGTTCCTAGGTCATGCACATAGTTAATGCACTTGGCTGCTAAATGAAAGGAAGGTCAAGTCTACCCAGAAGTGCCTCAGAAGAAAGGCCAGGTGACCTCCTTCCAGAATGTCACCACTGAAAACCCTGTGACATACAGTTCTGCTATGACACAAGGTCACCATGAATTAGAATGGACTTGATAGCAGCTGGCTGACCGGCTGACCGGTACTGAGTGCCAGCCATGTTCCTGGCACTATTGTACCTCACTGAATCAGTGCAGCCACCCAGGGAGGCAGACATGAGTATCCCCAGCTGGGAGATGAGAAGGGGGTTCTAAGGAAGACAGGTCTGTCTGGAGTCACACGGCAAGTGAGTGACAAGACCCACATTTGATCTGAGACAGGTGTAAGGCCTGAGCCTGCAGCCTTACAGGTGGAGACCTGTGAGCCCAGGCGGTTTAGGTACGAGTGCTGCACCCTCTCCGCCGTGCAATGTAAAGAACTGGATACAGGTTCAAGGCCCAGCCCTGCCCTTAACCTGGTGTCTGGCTTGGGTCACTTCCTCTTTCTAGACCCCATTTTTTAAAATTTTATATTCTTTTGCTTACTGAGTTCATATACATTGTGTTTCACACTATTCTTTATTCACATTGTGTTTCATACAATCATTCCCATGCATTATATTTTATAACATTAATCACCATTGGACCTTGCCCATCATTACCTTGTATTTTCATGTTGTCACCAGATCCTTCCCACTTGCTTCACCCCATCTCTTTACCCACCAAGTTGTGCAACCCTGTGGCTTCACCCCTACCCATCCTCACCCCTCTGCTCCTACCCCTTCCCTCCTTGGGTCCCCGTATGTGTTTTACTAGTTAGCCTTCTATTTTTACAATAATTAGACCCCATTTTTTCATGTTTAAAATGGGTTGATGTTCTTGAGACAGGTTGAGGCTTCAGAGCTCTGTCATCTTTGGGCTTGCACCAGTGTTCTTGGCGCCTCCAGACCCAAGCCTTGGAACCTTCCCTGGCTCCGGTCCTGGGGCAAATCCCTCAGGGAATTTAACTGGGCAGATGCTGAAGGCTGCTTGGGAGAGGTAAAGAGGGTGTCTGAGCTTCAGTGAGTTCAGGGTTCCAGAGCAGCCAGGATGGAGGGAAGATGCCCAGAGCCACCTCAGGTAATGCTCTCCTCTCCCATTCATGTGCTCTGCCCTTCCAGACGGCTGCTGGCTCCCTGGATGCCCTCTGCTCTGCCCCCAATAGTACTGTTACCACACAACTGGGACCCTATGCCTTCAAGATCCCACTCTCCATTCGTCAGAAAATATGCAACAGCCTTGACGCCCCCAACTCTCGGGGCAACGATTGGCGACTGCTGGCCCAGAAGCTTTCCATGGACCGGTGAGTGTCTGCCTCCTCCCATGCCACAGACCACACTCATTCCCTTCCCACTCACAGGCTGGCAGGGATGAGCAGCCAGTGAGCCCAGGTTCAGATCCAGTTTGGTTTCTGATTGGCTAGCCTCTGTGGCTGTCATCATGCTGGGCTCCAATCTTTCATTGAGATTGGATGACAGGTTCACCAGCATCAAAGTCTGCATGCAGGGCAGGGGAGCTAAAGAGCTGTTGGGGGTCCTTGTTGGGAGCTGGTGTCCTGGTGACTGCCAGGATTTACTCCCTATCTGAAAGTGGTGCTGCTTCTCATTCCCAGCAGAAAGGTGGGCTCAATGTTAAGATGTTCTTTTTTTTTCCAAAAAATAATAATGCATAAAACCCACCTGTGCCCACCATTATTGATTGCTGAGAGGTATTCTTGGACATTGGCCACCCACAACAAACCCTGCTGGCCTCTCTTCTCATTTCTGAGGCCTCTCATGGTTGAGGAGTCCTGGCTGTGCTTCTCATGGTCTTGTTTATAGTTTGGGTGTTCATTGCTACATCCCTGAGGGCAGGGCATTTCTCTGAAGATTATTTGCCGAGCACTAACCGTGTGCCAGGCAGAGCCGTAGACATGAAAGATACCACAGTGAACAAATGAAACCTCTCCCAGGTCCTGTGGACATTGCATTCCAGTGCGTTCAGTGCTTTAAGCACAGAGTTTACAGCAGTGAAAAAACGAGATCCATTTCTAACTCTTGTGGGCATCACATCCCACTGCAGGAAGACAGGTGATAAGCATGGCAGATGAAGATAAAGGTGTGGGGAGGACTGGTGGTGGTGGTGGTTGTGGTGGTGGTGGTGGTCGCGGTGGTTGCTCCGGCGTTGACTCCAGTTCATAGCCACCATGTGTCCAACAGATCCCAACCCAGCTCAGTCCCGAGCCATCCTCACATCTCTGCCATGCTTACGCTTGTTGTTCAGTCACTGTGTCAGTGCATCCCCTTGAGGATCTCTCTGCTTTGCTGACCGTCCACTTTTCCAAGCATCATGTCCTTTTCCAAGGCCTGGTCCTTCCTGACAAAATGCCCAAAATATGTGAGACACAAACGTCACCATCCTTGCCTCTAGGGAACACCGTGACTGCACTACTTTCAAGACTGGTGTGTGTGTTCTTTTGGCAGTCTGTGGGATACACACAACTCTTCACCAGCACACAGTTCAGAGGCTTATGCTCTTCTTTGGTCTTCTTTCATTGCTCAGCTTTCACCTGTTTATGAACCATTGAAGATGCAATGGCTTGGGTCAGGTGCACATTACTCCTTAAAGGGACATCCTTGCTCTTTAGCACTTTACAGAGGACCTTGATAGGAGGTTTGCTCTATACAGTATGTCTTTTGATTTCATGCAGAATAGCACAGGGAGAAGGGATGGGAAATGGGAGGATTACAGTTGTGAATGAACGTGCATCGCTGGGAAGGTAACATTACTAAAACATCAGGGGCATTGAGTGAGAAGAGGGACCCATGCAGATGTCTGAAGAAGTCTTACAGAGGAAGCTGTAAGTTCAAAGGCCCTAGGGCAGAAGTGAGCCTGCTGTGTTGGAGGGACAGCAGAAGACTTTGTGGTTCTCTGCTAGCTTCAGTAATTTGTTGCAGTGGCCACATAGAGCTCACAGGCTGTACATGTAGTTACGTGGTTTATTAAGGAAGAAAGAATATAGAACCCAGGATCAGGAAGCATACAGTCCCCTGTAGAGAAAAGCAAATCTCTCCCTTCAGACAGCCCTCTCCACTCCTTGTGGCCGTACAAGCAGTCAGGCCCTTCTCTCTGTGCATGCCCCTCGCCTCTGCAGGCCCATCTGCCTTCAGCATCCCTGTCCTTTGCCTCTCTGCTGCAGACTGGCCCAGCTCATTGCCTGGGTAGTGATTTCCTCTGGCTCTCTCAGTTGCCTTCCTCGCACCATTCTTCTGCTGTCACCATCCACCCCTTTGGGGCCTGTTGCTTCAGGCTCTGCTGTGTAGCACCTTCTGGACCACTCACTTTTTCAATGTCCCAGCCCTCAAAAAACATGCTGAAACTGTTCTGTCTCCTTTCTTCCTTTCTACCAACTTCTGTGGGGTTGTTGAACATATAAGCAAACTCCTTGTCAGTTTTAAGGCATGGCCTGGCTGCCTACCAGGATCAGGAACTGACCAAAATACTCTTGGTATTTTGCAGAAACTTCATGGAACTTGCAAGGTAGGAAATAGTCACTGAATTTGCATACATCTCTTGGCCAGTCCCTGTGAAGTTCATTAAGTAGACCAGCAGCAGGACAGGCTATAGCAAAGGACCAGATAAAAGCTGTATTGAGCTCATCAAACCTCAGGTTGTTTATAGCTTACACAGCAATTGTCAGTCAACCTGAACAGAAGTAACAAACCCTCTGGGTTAGAAGCAGCCTTGAATCAGCTCAGAGATGGTTGGAAGTGGCAACGAGACCTCTTTGTGACCTGTGTCAAAAATCCAAGAACATGTCATTTAGTTCCTCTTCCAAGATATGCAGCTATAGCCATGGCTATAACGAAACCATTTTGAATTGGTTTGAAGCCCTGGTTAGAAAATTAAGATAAACGTGACTCTTCGGGGTTTACGGGGAAAATCTCTCTAGCTGTTTTTCTGAAGAGCTACAGCAAAAGGCCACATAAAGTTTTTGAGAGCGAGAAGGCAAAAGGCCACATAATTTCACCACAGTGGCCATCAGTCAGATCAGCTTTGAGAGGCTGCCACATTCCTCAGGCTGTCCCCTCCCCTTAATCCAAGGGAGTAATGCTTTACCCTCCCACATCCGGACAGTGTGAGGGTCAGATAAAGCCCAGACTAACTGTGAGCCGCCACATCTGCCACCAGCGCCAGGACAGAGCAGTAAACTCTACAAGTGCTTGCTGAATAAAAGAGTAATGCCAGCTCTTTTATAGAACTCAAAATGCTAGCTAGACAAAATGCTTATGTGCTGTTTTGTGCCATCAAGTCAAATGCAACTCCATATGCACAATAGCTCTGAACCATACCCTATCCTAAGCCTATCTCACTGTTCTGACATACCTGCCCCCATTACTCTATTTACTGTTAGTCCAGCTCATCCAGGATTTTCCTCTCTTGCACTGTCTGTCCATCCTTCCAAGCATGATGTCCTTTTCCAAGGACTGGTCCCACCTGGAAACATGCCCAAAGTATATCAAACAAAACTTCATAATCCTTGCGTCTGAGGAGCAGCTTGGTGTCACCCTCTCTAGGAGGGACCTGTTTGTTCTCTTGGCAGTCCAGTATGTTCAATACTTTTCTCTAGCACCACAACTCAAAGGCATTGATTCTTTTTCTCTCATTCTTCTTCATTGTCCAGCTCTCTGATGCATAGCAAATAATTTGTGAAGATGATGGCCCAGATTAGACACACCTTAGTCTCCAGACTGATAACAGTGCTCTTTAGAACTTTGGAGAGGTTCCTGACAGCCAGTTTCCTTAATGCAGTTCATCTTTTGGTATCCTGGTTGCTGGTACCACGAGTGTTGATTATGGAGCCGGGCAAGCTGAAATGAACAATTTCAATCTCTTCTCCATCTGTCATAAGCTGTCAGTTGGTTCACCAATTGACTTAGTGGTGAAAATCTTTGTCTTCTTGATGTTGTTTCAATCCATATTGAAGACTGCGTATAAAATGGAAATTATGACTTAAAAAACCTCTATTGCCATTGAGTCATCTCCAGCTCATGATGATCCCACGCGTGTGAGAGTGTTCTGTGTCCCATTAGGTTTTTAATGGCTGATCTGTCAAAATAAGTTGCCAGAGTATTGTCAAATACTTTTCTTCCACGGAGCTTTTGGGTCGGCTTGAACTGCCAACCTTTTTGTTAACAGCCAAGTGTGTTTGCCATTTGCACAGCCTGGGGAACGTGTTACACTTTTTGGAAAACAGGATGTATTGTGTGCGTGCCATGTGTAGACACTTTACACAGATAGGTTGGGATTTACAGAGCTGTCAGGGGCCTGGTTCCTGCATCCGGGGAGTTTGTGGGGTAGGACCAGGCAGAGGATGGAAGTGAGAGGAAGAGAAAAGAATGGCGTGCTAGGCTTGGGCAGTCTCTCCTGGTAATTATGATGATCATAAAATAGTGAAGATGAACAGGACAGGGCCTAGAGTCTAGAGACCGTTGTAGACTCTTACTTTGTATACTTTAAATGATCTTAGACCCCGTCTATAAAGTTGGAAGCATCATCCTCTTCTAGAGAAGAAGAGACTGAGGGTCAGAGAAGTTCAGAGCCTTGTCCTGGCCACACAGTCTGGAAACAGTAGCACCAGGATTGACAGCCAAGACTTTAGGGCCCCAGGAACCAGTCTTCCCCACTCCCATTCCTTCCTCTGCCTCCAGGCTCCCGAGAGGTGCTCAGTATTCTCATTACCCAGTATCACTCTCCCTCCTCCCTGCCAGGTACCTGAACTACTTTGCCACCAAAGCGAGCCCCACGGGCGTGATCCTGGACCTCTGGGAAGCTCTGCAGCAGGACGATGGGGACCTCAATAGCCTGGCCAGTGCCTTGGAGGAGATGGGCAAAAGTGAGATGCTGGTGGCCATGGCCACTGACGGGGACTGCTGAGCTGCCTTCGGACACAGGCCAGCGGGACCAGCAGGAGGCAGGCATGAGAGGCCTGGGGAAGCCTCCTAAGGGGACCTTGAGCCTCTGCTGCCACCAGCTCACAGCGGAGCAGCTCTCTCCTCGCTGCCCAGCCCTGACCACGACCAGCCTTAGAAAAATCCATGTACTCTCTTGACCATCTCTGTCCCCTGACACGTCTCTGGCCTCAGCCCTCTCTGCGGGGACAGGGTTGAGACAGAGGCCTCTGGTGGCAGGTATAGGGGACAGAGGCCACTCTCCTTTTCACACCCCACCCTCTGCGGGGACTTCCTTTCACACTGTTTTCTTTTCCCTCTTCATTTTCTCCCTTCATTACCCGTTTCTTCCTCCTCCCCACCTCCTTCACACAGTTTTGCTCTTTGAAGAGTTAAGTACAGACAAACTGCTTTCTCCTGTCCAAAAGAAAAAAAAACCGCACAGAAAAAAGAAAGAAGGCTTCACACCACTAGTAAGGCTCGAAGAAGAAGAAAAACACCGAACTACAAGGGAAAAGAAAACCCAGTTTCCTAGGAAACGCAAATGATTTATTATCCAGATATTTGGATAAGTCCTTTTTAAGAAAAAAAAAAAAAGACAATGAAAAACAACACACACAAAAATTTTAGAAAACTCTTTTCTTGAATGAATGGAGATGGACTTGGTTCTGGCCTCGAGTGAGTGAGTGTGCACGTGAGTGTACGTGTGTCAGGGAGGGGGAGACTGAGCAGGGAACACACTGTTGCTTGTAGAAGTCCTCATACTACAGTTTGGGCATGCCTTGGTTTCCCTGGTTTAATGGGGAGTAGGCCCAACTGGGTTTTCAGTATAGTAGCACATTTCCCTCTAAAATCTTAAGCACACACTGTGAATCTGTAAAACAAAGGAGTGTTTGGGGCTAGAGTGGGGTCCCTCCGGTAACCTCAGGCAGAGGCCCTCAGATTCCACCAGAAACACGTGGGAACTCGGGTTAAGAAGCCCAGGACTGGAATGGAAGGTGTGGGTGGGCCTGGTCCACTCTGAACCTGGGAGAATGTTCCCAAGGCTGGACCCTGGGGAGGGAGTGTGGCCCATAAGTGGGGCTGGAGCAGAGAGAAGAAATGGGATCCTCTCGTGGGATCCACTGGAGCCAGGACACCCCTCCCCCAGCAGCCTCTGGGCCAGGTGGGCTGGAGGTCAGAGCCTTTTCTCAGGGATCCCAGGTCCCCTCTCCTGGCCCTCAGTGTCTGTAAAGCAGGATGGAGAGTCCTTGCTTTGAGGACCTGTCTGCCCTGCAGTGTGAGAGGCTGAGAAGTGGGCGGCCGGCTGCATTTACAGCCCTGGATGAGGAAGGGTAGAGAGCTGTTTCTCCACTCTCCTGCTCTCATCTCCACAGGCACCACTCTTTAATCCTCTCCCTACCCTCCCTCTGTGGGCTGGGAAGCTTTGAAGAAACTTTCTCAACTGAGCTGGTTTGCCAGCGTGGAAGAGCTGGCATCATGACCACCCTGTTCTAGAATATTCTGAGAGGCCAGTAGGGTTTTACATGGGGGGTAAGGATTGTCCGTTTCTATCCCTTTTCTGGGTTGATTGCTGGTATAGGGAGCTCATCAAAGGCCTCTCCTTGGCTTCTGGGCAGGGCGGGTGCCAGCTCCCCACAGTCTGGGCACTGACCCCAGTGCTTGCCTCAGCAGATCCCTCAGCAGCTTTGGGGACCAGCCTGGGCACATCCTGCCTTTGAAAGTTGGCTTGTGAGAGGAGAGCAGGTTTTAAGCTGCAGTCCCAACCAGTGCTTGGCTTCCTTGCCCTATGCTCCAGAGTTTATGAGGATTCTCACTAGCCCTTAGCTCTGGGAGTTGGGGGCTGGCCTGAGCCACCTGCCAGAAGGTTTGAGGAAATATTCCTGTCAGGAGTGTGGAGCGGCCAGGCCTTCAGCAGGGCTGGGACCTGTTCGGGCCACTGAGGCCAAGAACAAGGTCTTTTCTCCCAGAACCTGGTGGGCACACTTTAGACAGAGAGCCCTCCTCCATGTCCACCCTCTCTGTTCACATTAACCTAGTGTGTGGGCTGCACTGAGAGGGTCTTTACTGGTGCCATTCTCATCACTCGCTAAAGATGCAGTGTGGTCTTAAGAGGCCGAAGATGAGGACTGAGTTCAGCTTTGCCACTGATTAAACCACTCTGTGTGGCCTGGGGGACGCCATCACCTCCTCCAGCCTCAGGTCTACAGAGGAGACCCCATGACTGCTGTCTGAGCCCCTCTTGGGTTTGGATGCTGTGATTTTTAGCTTCGGAAGGGACCCCTAATTGCTTCCCTTCAAAGAGTCGACGCCAGTCTGCTATCCTGTGCCCTCCCAGCTCCACCCAGACAGTGTCAGTCACCCAGTGATGTCAGGAAATCATGTTACCAGGGCCCAGAGCACAGAACAATTGACTGGAGCCTCCTGGGAGGCTCAGATCATCCAGCTTTATACGAAAAGCCCTGAGAGGGTTCCCTGGCTCTGTCGATCTGCTGAGGTTGCTGTTGTACGTCCTCAGGCTGCCTGCCTCCTCAGTGGTGCGGTCAGCGATTCCTTGTCTGCTCAGACCTGGGAGTCCGTTCACCCCATTGTGGGGCGTGAGGACTGTGATTTCCGCACTGCTGGAGTTGTGTGGGCTGCTGACTTAGGTCTCTGATCTCTGAAGTGTGTTTGCTCATGCGTATGTGTGTGTGTGTGTACGTGCGTGCCATGCTATGTGTGTGCTTGTCTCATGGGCATGCCAGATGTACCTCTAGGACCATGGGTGTGTCTCCACCTGTGTGGGGCATGTGGCCTCTGTTGTGCCCAGGTTCGGGGGCCTGGAGGTTGGCGTGCTTGTGCCCTGCCCTCTGGATCCACAGGGTCAGTCATTGTATCTTCTACGTGCCTCTCTCTACCTTCCCTCTCACGGTGCCCCAAGTTCCAGAACTGAGGGATAGGAGTCCCCCAAGAATATAGGGGAACCTCCCTGTCTCCTAGAAAATCTAGACCCTCAGCTCCAGACAGCTGAACTGGGTCTCTTAGGCCCTTGAGGGAAGGTGGTCAGGAGCTTGGGTGCAGGGAGCAACTCTCCTGAGGCTCAAGGGCTGACCCCTGCCTGGGCCTGGGACATGGTCATAGGTCCAGGGGCTCTGGGGATGGCCCTCACCTCCACCTGTTTATTCTGTAAACTACAACCTGTAAATAACGTTTAGCATTCCTATTGTAACAAAATTAATTTTTATGAAATAAATTATATTTCCTAGTCTAAAAAGCCCCAGATTGCATTGTGTTTTTAGCTGTCTTCCCATCAGGAATGGCCTTCTGTTCCTTGTCAGAGTTCTTTGGGTGGACGGTCACTGTCAGTGGGCCCTGGGGATGGCCACACTCCACTGCCTCATTTTACAGAGGGGGACCTCTCGGAGGACAAAGGTCCTCCCGTGAGCACCCAGGGAGTTAGAGCCATGGTGCATGAGCAGTTAGGAGATATTGGGGGCCATTTGAGTCCACATGAGCTTGGTGAGAGGGTGGGTGACAGTACAGAGATGAAGCCTCCAGCATCCCTGTCTCCTTCCAAGGAATTCTAAAAGGTATATACACCCTGGCTGGTCCTGAAGATGCGCTGCACGGCTGAGCAGGTTATGCACGCGATAAGGGCCCAGCGTCTAAGGGGCGTTAGGGTGTCAGAGGGTGAGATTTGGTAGATTGTGTGTTTACTATGATGTGCCTCCTTGGGCTCCATGGTGGCATAGTACATTACATGTTAGATGGCTAACAAAAAGGTTTGTGGTCCATCTGTAGCTACACAGAAGCATAGCCAGTCTCCTCCCCACATCAAGATTTACAGCCTCAGAAACCTGATGGAGGGTCCCCAGGGCTTGGCATCCACTCAGTAGCAGTCTGGTGACCTAGTGGGAAGGCGCTGTGCTGCTAACCCAAAGGCACATTGTTCAAATCCACCAGCTGCTCCCCAGAAGAAGGATGAGCAGTCTCCTCCCATGTGATTAACTGCCTCTGAAAATCCGCTGGAGGGTCAGCTATGGGTCGGATCCGACTTAACAGTACACAACATCATCACAGGGTTAAGTTTGGTTTTATGACTCCAGCAGATGGCAGCAAACGGTATTCTAATAAAATCAGTCTATGGCTCTCATTTCCATGACGTTGGAACTGTGACATACGTCCTCAGGAAGCTCCTGGCTTTAGTGGGGGTGGGAGTGGGGCAGGCAGGACACACACACACATATCCACACTCAGCAGGCTCCGTTTCTGTCGCTCCCCGGGGACACGTGGAGTGGCCACGTGGAAGGGGATGGGAGCTGGATTAAAGGGAACAGGGTGTAGGCGATAGTGGAAGGGGACGTGTGTGTATGTGTGTGTATGTAGGAAGGGACAGGGATGTGACCTAAGGTGGCAGCAGTGGCCCAGGGAGGGGGTGGCAGAGTCACATATGGAGACAGCTACTTCATTCAAGCAGCACCCACCTATGGCAGACTGTCCCCCCAGGAATTCAGGATGCTCATTTAAATCCCCCCACTTACCTGCCTATTTAGTCAACAAGGCATCTCCCTGCCTCCTGCTCCCTGGTCGTTCACTTGAACCCAGCTTGATTGAGTGCAAAGGATTCTGATCTGAAAGACAAGGGGAGCTGAGCCCCAGTTTTCTCATCCATGAAATATGGGGCTTGGGCCTGATGCTTTCCAAGGGACCTCTAAATGTTGAGGTTGGGGGTTCAGGTTCTAGGCAGGGGGTGGCAACCCCACCCCTTGGATCCTGGTCTGTGCACGGGGAGCAGGGGGAGTCAGGAGAAGGTTAATAATGAGCTGGGCCAAGCCTCTATCCAGTTCAGTGGCTGCCCAGTGCTGCCCCAGCTCTAGTTCGGTTGCAACAGGGCGTTGAGAGGACACTGCTGGGTCCGCGTGCCTGCAGCTGGCCGGCCTACCACGGCTGAGCAAATTTTGGGCCATCAGCATTGCTCATGAAGGTGAGAAGGGGCAATTGGCTATCCACTCCTCCACTAGGGAGCCATAACCAGTTAAAACCAGTTGCCATCGTGTTAATTCCCACTCACGGCAACCCCTCATGTGCTCTGTGGTGTTTACAAGGACTGTGACCTTCCGGAAGGAGATCACCAGTCCTTTCTACCGAGGCGCCTCTGAGTGCATTTGAACCACCAACCTCTCAGATTTTAGCTGCCTGATTATCCATTTGTGGCACCGATAAGACGAGAACTTCAGCTCCAATCTAGCCAATGGCCAAAGGTTAGACATTAAGAAGACCTTGTTCAGATCTGTGTAGTAAATTCTTCTAATTGAAATTATGATGCATGCCTATGGTTCACATATTGCACAAAAGCACAAAGAAAGAGGTGAAAAATAGAAAAGGCCCTCCGTGTCCTGTCGTGACCCCTCCCTCCTTCCTCTGTCCCCAGTCTAACTCATAGAATCAGCTCTGCTCTTTGCCATCAAGTCAGAATCTACTCACAGCTGACTACTGACTGTCCAGTGGGTTGTCAGGGGCTGTAAGTTGCAGGATAGGAAACTGTCCAGTTTTCTCCCTCCGAGCAGCTGGTGGATTTGAACCAGCTGCCTTTGGGTTGGCAGTGCAACTCCTTACCCACTAAGCCACCCAAGTTCC